GAGTGGTGAGCGGAGGCTGCCACCCCCTGCCTTGCGGCCCTGCTGACCCTGGCGGGGTGCGGGGGTGCCCAGGGCCTGTGTGCACGTGCTCCGCCAGCAGCTGGGGTGCAGCGGGTGCCCAGAGCAGGTGGGAAGCATGTGCAGAGGGATGTGCCGTGGGCAGGTGCAGGTTGCAGGGAGGGGCCGGTGGTAAGGGGACCAGGGTCTCCATGCCCCCGAGAGCCGCTGCTGCCCATACCAGGGCCCTGAGCATCTGGAGCAGCGCGTATCATCCTAACACTGATGTGAAGAGGACCCGGAGAACTGGGCCCCCCCGCTCGGGCCGCTGTCCCTGTCACATGCGTGCAGGTGGGGTGGGAGGGGACAGCCATGGGGATGGAGGGTGTACGTGCAGCTGAGGGAACCACACACACAGACGTGCAGAGCTGCAGCAGGGCCTCAGGGCCAGGGCCGGGGCTGATCCCAGCGTCACCCCTGCCACTGGGTGGTCATACCCAGGACTTTGTTCCAGGACCTCCCTGCAACGTGCACTTCAGTGTCTGAGGAAGGAGAGGACCCAGTGCCCTCGCGGGGTGTCTCTGGGGACTGCCCCCCTTGCAGGGTCCGCCCTGGGTTCTCTGGGTGGAGCAGGGCCTGGGGGATCCCAGAGGTCCATGTTCTGAGAAGTGGTGTCTGTGTTTCCTTCTGTCTTGTGGAGTCTTTTGCACCTGGTTTGGAGAATCTTAGCGGAATTGGGGAGAAAGGAAGGAAAAAAGGGTTTTGTGTGAACCGTACTAGGAGAATACGTGGGGAGCCGTGTAACGCCAGCCCCAGGGGTTAGGAGCCCTTCCGGGTCCCCGGGCGGGACCAATGGAGCCGGGGCACCCAGCTGCAGGAGGGCGTCTTCAGGGGCCGCTGTGAGCTTCACGCTCTTAGGAAGCCGAGGCCTCGGCAAGGGCAGTTCAGGCTGCCGTGACCTTGACGGTCTTCTGCCAGAAGACAGATTTGCTAGCAAGGCCGTGGCCAAAGGATTGGTCAGCCCTCCCGACTGGTCCCCAGGGAAAACACCTTTACACGTTTCATGTCAGTAAGCGAAGTTGTCCTGACAGCCGAGTCCCAGCCTGGTTTGTCAGAGCAGAGATGTTTGGAAATGACTTAGTGCTGTCATGTCCCAAAGGAAGTAATGAGTTCTCAGTTTACTGTTGAGAAGTAACCACACTGTGGTGTGAGGTGCGACTCTGGCCACGTTGTGTAATCCAGATAAAAGCCCAGACATTCCACGACAAAGATCCACGCACCACCGACACGGGCGTGTCTGCAGGGTAACGTCCACGCTGGCCAGCAGAGCCGGGAGCGGGAGTCCCCAGCCCATCCATGCGCAGGGCCAGGAAGCGAGGCCATCGGGTGAACAGTGGGACAGCATCAGGGCTGGATTCTCACGCCTCACCGGTCCCCGCAGGGACGTGGCCGGCCTCTGAGGAGCTCAGGGGTAAAGCAGATTTGCTCTCCTGAATGTGCGGGGGGCAGGTCACAAGTAGCAGAGACAGAGGAGGGGCTCACAGGGAAGTTTCTCCTGTAGCTCCAGAGCACATGCAGCCTCACTGTAGACCCCGGTGGACGCAGCTGCCCTTGGGCGCAGCTCCCTGAAGGAGCTTCGGGCCACACGTTCCCGTGCACAGACCTGCGGGAAGCAGGGCGGCACGGAGGGCTGCGGAGCCTGAGCTTTCACAACAGCAGGGCTCAGTATTAAAACATATTACGCGTTACTGTTAACTAGTCACGATCTTGAAGAATGGAACCTGCCTTTCCGGAAGGCTGCGGTGTGTAACCGTGTGTGTGATCGGGTGCTTGCCCCGCAGTTCTTCACCACGTTCAAGCCTGGTCTAATCCTCGGCTTCCTAAGCCTGAGCGGAACTTCCTGCGTCCATCCTGAATCTTATTTCAGAACCAAATTCCCTCCCTTTGCAAAGCCCAGTGGCCTCTGTTCTCCCTCTAACCCCGAAAGATGCCACGACCCCCGGGACCCTGAGAGCTCTCGTCACAGGGCCCCAGACTGGTCTGTCTCTCCGTCCCCAGCGCCAGCCGGTGTGGGACTGAAAGCAGGAGAAAGAAGCGCAGCCAGCCTTGTCGGGGGCCTGGGAGCGCAGAGGAGGGCAGTCGCCTCCTGCCTGCCTCTGTCACATTCGCGTGAATGTCACCTTCGCAAGTGTTGCATGAGTCCCAAGCTTGCTCTGATCCTTACTTTTCTTTGAAACAAGTTGAGTTTTACAAGAAGCATCTTTACCAGAACGCTACTTTATAAAAGCACATCTGAACGCGTCTTCGCGGGACGCCCCGGCCAAGCACGAGCGGAGGGGACAAGTGAGGCGGTGGGGGACCGGCAGGCGTGAAGCACGGGCCCCGTGGGGTCCGGCGCCCCCGCCCTCCCTGGGACGGGACTCAGTCAGACTCCACAGCCGGCCTGGAGCCTCAGTTTACTCATCTGTGATAATGGGGCTGATTAGCAAGACCCTCCTGGGAGGGTGGTCGTGAGCAAGCAGGTGACACCCAGCATCCGGCCCCTTGGTTCCGTCAGGGAGGGGACACAGGGCCAAACTGCTCCGCGATCGGCCCTGAGCAATCAGCCCTGAGCGGGACATCAGAGCGTGTGGGTCCCGGAGCTGCTGCCGGGATGGGCACAGGCAGGTGTTCTCTCACCTGACGTTCACTGCCCAGCGCCCATCTCTTAATTTGCAGTCATGGATAAAAGCACTCCCCGTCTACACCCTCCATCCCTCATCCAGCTGTTTGTTTTACAAGTACCGTAGCTGCTGGGAGTCCCACAGAGGCCTCCCATCTCCCAAGGGGCCCCTGCGGCCACCGGGGTCCAAGGCTTGCCTTTTTCTTGGCATGTTTCCTGTCTTCCTGAAAGGTGCTTCACCCGCACAGCATTGCTGGTTACCGCAGGTCTGGTGTCAGTGTGCAGACATCACTCTGCAGAAGCTGCGTGGCCCCAGGGACGCCCCCTCCCTCCGTCCCCTCCCCCAGCCCTCTCAAGGGCAGAAAGTGGCTTTCTGGGCAGCCGTCCTCCCTCAAGCACCTTCCCCCCCGGGCCTGGCCGTTCCTGTTGGAGGAGAGGGGTGAGGTTTGGTGGGCCAGCCGCCAGGGGGTGGTGCCCAGACGCCGGGCACTCTGCCGGTTAACCGCTGCCTTTTCTTTTTCTTTCTCCGCAGGAGTACTTTTATCCGAGGTACTTAGGTAAGTTGGACTCATTTCCTCCTTTTGTTTGGGGCCTCACACCTCATCACCGAGTTGTTCCCGGAAGGACCTGCTTGACCGCACAGTGAGTTGGGAGCTCTCCAGGGCTCACGGGACAAAGCCCTAGTTTGTGTCTTTTATACCATAGTGACCGCGTTAGTGTCACCTCCAGCCGATGCCATTGTTTGCAGACCTCTGCCCCACTCTGATTCCAGGCTCAGCTCGTTAACTGGAAATATGATTGCTTCCGTGGTTCTCGGGCTGTTTGGTCTCAGGACTCTGCCCTTGTGAAATCACTGAAGACCCCAGAGAGCTTTTGCTTATGCGGACCCTGGTTGTTGATACCATGTTATTAATTAAAGCTGAGGACATTAAAACGTGCTTTTGTTTAACTTGGACAACAGGAACGGGCAGGCTAACAGCCTTGGCCGTCGAGCAGTCATGGCGCTCCCCGAGCGCCAGTCATGTCTGTGTGTGGAGGCGGGGGGGCCTGGACTGGGGGAGAACGAGAGGAAAAAGGCCAAGGCGGTCCCGTGTTTTCAGGAAGACCTGAAAGTTCCCCTGCGAACTGTTCCTTAATCGACACTGTTTCAAGGGTTCTTTTATGTCTCTACTTATAATGAGAGAGAAGTATTCCAGGGCTTTCCTCTTTAATTGTGTGAAGCGCATTTTGGTAAATTTTCCGTTGCCCTTATAGCCTCGTAGAGGTACCTTCTGTGGGTGTGTATCTGGCAACAAGCATAGTGGACCTGTGATTGGCCTTGAGAAGCCCCATCCGGGCTCCCTGCCGGCCTTGCTCCCGGGTGCATGGCTTTGTATCCTGAGGCAAAGGCGACAGTGGCCCCCGGGCCACCTCCAATGCTATCCACTGCCTGTGCCCACATCCTCCGAGGCGCGGATGGGCAGCAGCGACCCACCAAAGGGCCAGTGAAGTGGCTCGACCAACACCCATTATGCCCAAGCTCAAGTTCAGATCATCCGGATGCTGTGGTCCCTCCCACCCCTGGCCTCCGTGTGGAGCACGCGGTCAGACAGCACAGAGGAGGAGGGGGCTAGTTCGCCAAAGAGATTGACCATCAAACCAAGGGTACTGTTTCCAAGCGGGGGTCAGGTTGAAATGGAGGCCAGCCCTCTGACCACGGTCAGAAGCTTCCTGAGTGCCACTGGAGAGCCTTCTGTACGACAGAAAGAACCCCACCAGGAGGCTGCAGGGGCCCAAGGCTCCTTGGAGACAGAGCTCTGCCCATGGGCGGAGACGTCTTCTCGTCTGACGGTGTTCCATGTTCCGTGTCAGCGTGACTAGTCTCCCTCCAGAGTGTCACGTCTGCTGGCCCCGTGCCGGAAGGTGACGCCCTGCCCTCTCTGTTTTGCAGAATGCATCAGTAAACATGGATCTCCGTACAAAAAGAACACAGATTTCATCACCTGCGTGCAAAGTAAGTCTGTCTCCTTCCTCGAAGCCCCTGCGTTTGGGGTCTTGGGGCTTTGCTATATTTCCATTGTCTTTGGAGCCACGGCACCTGCCTGATGTCCTCTCCTCTGCCCTGAACTTCCTTTTCTAAGCGAGTACGTGTTGGCTTTTCGAACAGGCAGGAAATTCGCACGGTATGAAGTGTAAACCTTTCACAGGTGGAGAGAAGGTGCATCCGGCCCTGCCTCCTGGTCAGTCAGGGGCCCTTTCGCCATGGCCACCGGTTCTAAGAATATTCTCAGACCCGTAGGAATGTACTCGGAGTCTCTTATTTCCACACAGGTGGCAGCTCCCTGAACCCATGACCCCACCGCCCTTTCCCCTCCACGTTTCGCAGACGCTTCCTGTGTCAGCACGAGCACGGCCAGCACGTGGGGCTGCGTCCACACTCGCGCTTGGTGGGCAGCGTGCTTGTTAACCAGTGTGCGCTGGCGGACACCTGGGCCGTTTCCAGTTTTTATACTGTAACAAGCAAAGCCAGAGTGTCCTCCTTGTCTGAATATATCTGCAGAATAGAGTGGACTTGCAGAGGGAAAGCTGTGTTCTTTTTCAGTTCTGCTGCAGACCCGGCCCCGTTACCCCCCACCCCGGTGGAGGGCGGGAGTGCCTCTCCCAGTACCTGCACCAGCCCAGTGTATTGCTTCTTACTTTTTTATATCTTTCAGTAGAAAAAGTGAAAAAAGACCCCCAGTCAATTCAGTTTCTTTTTTTCTTACTCATGAGTAAAGCTGAGCTTCATATGTTGAGGAACCTTGGGTTTCTTTTTCTGTGGGTAGTTTGTTCAGAGTCTTTGCCTACTTGCCTCAATTTGTAGGAGCTGTTGATATATTTTGCAAATTAGCCATGTGTACTAAAGGTAGCAAAATTTTTCTTCAGCTCATCGTGCGTCTTTATTATTATTTTAAATTATCATACGTAACACTGACACTTTGCACGAACTTTAGTCCACACGTAGACCCCCAGGCCCGTCTCAGCCGAGCCTGACTCCAGGCCCGGCTGTGGCCGGAGAGCTCTCTGATGTGACCACTTCGTCCCCGCCAGGCCCGGCTGTCAGCTGCCTTATTGCACCGGCTCCACCGGTGAGGAGACGGGCTCTGAGCGCACAGCCAGCCCCGCACGGGGAGCCCTGCGCTGCACGCGGGCCTGCACTGCGGGGTCGCCCAGGGCGGGTGGAAGACCGGGACTGGCACCAGGGCCTGGTGGGCAGGGCTCGGCGGCTGTGACCCGTCACCCAGCCTCCCACGTACCAGTCGCTGGTCTTGCCTGTCTCGCCCCGGGTCACAGACCCCAGCCCGGCCCAGGCGCACAAAGGAAGTGAGAGACTGAACGAGGGCAGGGGCCCTGCTGTGAGGCCTGGGCTCCCCACGGACCCTTCAGCAGCCTCCCAAGAGCAAGTGAGGGGCAGAGGCCGGTGTGCACTCAGGGAACAGAGCCCGCGCCCACACACCCCGGCTGACGTGAGCAAAGCCCGCCCCTCGGCCCCCCAGGCTGAGCGGGACCTCACCGGCCTTAGGCAGACATGGGAGCATCACAGCAGTTCCGCTTCCTGTCATTCCGCTTCACTTGTAGCAGATTTTTGGTGCTGTCAACTTGCCATACCCGCTCCTTCTTTTTAAATTATGTGTTCGAACTGATGAGTTTGTTTCACTTCCTGGGTTTCAGGCTGTCCTCTTCCTGAGACTGTGAAGTTGTCTGATAGTTCACGTTTAAGCTCATAACCTGCCTCGGCGTCTCTGATGCAGTGAGGAGGTCATTTATTCGAGATGTGCCTCCCCCGGGGGTCCGGGATCGGTTTCTGAGGCTCTGCCTTTGGGTCCCAGAGGGTTTGGGCGATGCCGTCTGCGGAGTCCTGGCCAACTGTCTCCACGAGGAAGGGTCTCGGTGCCTTTTCTCCTCCGTGAGGACGACGGCCCGCATTTGCATGTATTTCCCAGCTTATAACTCGTCACGCCCACACATTCCCGGAAGTGGGAGCAAAAGCCGCTGAGACAGGCCTCTGCTGGCCTCAGCAGGTGCCTCACACCCCCGTCCACATAGCAGCCGCTTCTCCCTCCATCCTCTCTCCACCGTCGTGGCCCTCGCCTCCCGCCTGTCGGGGGCCCGGGTTGGGGCTCAGGTCTGACTCAGCCCCGAGCCCCTCTGCAGGCTGCCTGCGTCCACCGAATTCCTAGAAGCTCAGGGGCACCTGCAAACACTCTCCTTCCTCTGCCCTACAGATAAGCTTCCCAACAGGGCAACAGATAAGAGCCGCTCTCCAGCTAGGTTCCCTGTGGGGATCTCCTGGGGCTGTCCCACCCCAGGGGAGGTTGATTTTTAAAGGTGGGGGGGGCGGCGGCTAGGCATTCTAGGCAAATTCCAGACAAAGGTAACGAGGCCAGGTGTGTCCTTCTGAAATAACTTTAAGTCTTTCACCAAATATGTCGAATGGAGACGCACCCCATCTTCCCCGTCCCTCCTGCAGGGCCTCTGACGTGCCAAGTGCTGCTGGGGGAACAGCCGGACCCTCAGGCCCCAGCACACGTCCCCCCGACCGCCCCGGTCTCCCTGCCCCCCTCAGAGCCCCATCCTGCGGAGACAGTGTCAGGAAGCAGACCCGTCCGTCATCTCAGCCCTGGCACTGGGCTTGACCCCCGCCGCCCCGGCCCTCCTGTCCCCCGGGGGAGCCCTCGTTACAGCGGCATGGGGGCCACAGGGCTGACCGCTCGACCCCCCTTCCTCACTCTCCGAGCGCCAGACCCAGTTCCTACTTGCTTGGGGGCGGAAGGCACTCACTGAGTCCACCGAGGACAGCTGTGCATGAGTCTCCAAATACCCGGAGGTGCTGTGTTCGGGGCACACTTGCGAGTGTTTTGTTGGCTGTAATTGTGCGGAACAAGCAAACTTTGAGGGGTCCCGTGGAAAGGCCACAAGGAGCCCAGTGAGAGACGTGGGTTCCAGGGTTGCGTACACCAACAGTTATGCTGGGCCCTCCCTGAGGGGCTCCCCGGTGACCGGGCCCCCAGACCCACAGGGACGCAGTGGGACAAAGCACGGTTTTGGGTCCATGCCAAGGACAGGGGCTGGCGCGAGGCCTGCTGAGCCGGGGGACAGGGGCCCACTGCCTTCCTGGGACCAGGAGCAAGCCCACGGTGGAAACACTGTCCCCAGACCAGCGTCCGGCTGGAGACGGCAGCGTCCTGAGAAAGAAGTGAAGAGGCGGGGGTGAGTGCCCGCCTGGCGCTCTCAATGGTCACCTGCTGGCTTGGCCTCTTCCTAGTGACCAGGCTGTGGAGTGAGTGGTGACCTCAGCTCCACACGGGGCGGGGCAGAGGGAGGGCAGAAGCACCGTGGCCACCTGTCGTGGGCTTCCCAGCGCTCAGACGGGCCCGTCGCTCGGTGAATAGACGCACGACAGTGCCTGGCTCAGGTGCTGCAGGTGGACGCCCGGGTATGAGAAGGTAGTGGCCGCTGGCACACAGAAAGGCGGCATCGCAGGGCTGAGCCTGGCCGGGTGGCTGCCCTGCCATCTCCAGGGCCCTGGGAAATGTGCCCCGTTCCCCTCCACTGAAAGCAGGATGATCAGAGAAGCAGGATGGCCATTGGTCACCGGCATCGCTGAAGCCGACAGGCCGTGGGGCCGGCGTGTGTCGGAGAGAAAGGGGAGCAGCGGAGTCCGGGGCCTGGACGGCCTGGACCGTGTCCAAGCGGAGGCAGAGGCAGCAGGCCCACCCGAGGGGCGGGCGGGGAGGCTGTGGGCGCCCTCTGTGCGAACTGGACCCCACAGGCCAGGGGTCCTGGCCTGGCAGGGTGGACACGGCCGCCGGGGCAGGGGATGTTCTGTGTCTGCCGGGCTGCCCCGTGGACCGGCCAGGGCCCTGTGGACCTGCTCCCTGGGAGGTCCAAGCTCCCGGGGCCCAGCCAGGCCCACTCCTCTCCTCTGCTGCCCCGGGGCCGCGGCCCTGACCTCGGGCCCAGGGGGTGGGCGGCCACTCCTTCCGAGCTGACCTGGGTTTCCTGGGATCGGCGGGGCCTGGCCAGCCTGGTCTGTGACGCCCTCCCTCCCAGAGGTGGGTGTCCTGTGCGGCCCGCCGGGGCCAGTGGAGGGGACGTTAGTGCCCCAGACCTGCCTCGGTTTCCTCCCAGCCGACCAGGGATAGCTCAGGGCCGCCTTCTCCTTCCTTCCAACTCAGAGCTGCCGGATCAGTGCTACCCAGACCCCTGCGATAAGGGGGGGACCCAGGTCTGCCAGGACCTCATGGGCACCTTCTACTGCCAGTGCAGAGACGGCTGGGCGGGACGGCTCTGCAACAGAGGTAAGGCCACGGCCTGGGGGCGGGCCTGGGCATAGGCGTCAGGCCCTCCCTGCAGGGCCACCCGAGGGCCCCGGGCTGGTGGGGCCCTGAGTCCTTCTCTCTTCCGCCTCTCCCCGCCGGGCCGCCTGCCACCCCGCCGGGGACACAGCCGCACCGGCCCGTCTGGCTGAGAGCAGAGAGAGGAGAAGTGGGAGGGCGGCAGGCCAGGGGTCCAGGCCCCTCACTGGCCGGCCCCCTCCCAGCTCCCGGGAGAAGATGGGCGGGCGGGGTCCTCCCAAGAGCGCAAATGTTTGCACAGCGCGGGAGGTCTTGCCTCTCCCCCCCGGGCGGGGCGCCACCCAGCTTGAAAACCCACTGTGCTGAGCCCTGAACTGTGCTCTGGCCAGGCCACCTCCTTGGGGGGGGGGGGGGTGGCGGGGAGGGCGCTGACCCCTCCTGAGAGCAGGGCAGTAAGAGTGCCCTGTAGCTGCCCCGCCCGGCGCGGCCCCCCAGCTGTCAGAAAGGAGTCAAGAGACTCTCTGAGTCTGCAGTGCGCAGGGTCAGCGGAGAGCTGCAGAAAACCCCCAGGATGTGGTTAGAACCCTCAGGCGGCCCCCTGGCTGCAGTGGGAGCCCTGGGCCCCTGTGCCCTCCCACCCAGGATCTGAGGGTGGATCCCATGGGGTCGGAGATGCAGGCGCTGCGACGTGCTCCAGGCGGGTTGTGGGTCACCTCTGGCTCTCTCCGTCCCTGTGTCCTGTTCCCAGATGTCAATGAGTGCAGCCAGGAGAGCGGGATCTGCAGCCAGATTTGCTACAACAAGCCGGGCAGCTTCCAGTGTGGCTGCTACAGCGGCTACGCACTCTCCCTGGACGGCCGGACCTGCCACGGTGAGGCCCTGGGTCCTGGTTGCCGTCCTCTCTCCTCCTCCCCCATTTTCTTCTGCGATTGCCAAGTTGCCAGTTGGCTGAAGCCACAGTCGCTTTGCTCCTCTGCGAGAGGCTGCAGTCCGTGGCTGGTCCCTCAGGCTCTGGAGGCTGTGGGCGTCCTGCAGACACAGCACATGCCCGGGCATGTCCGCGGCCACGGGGAGCTGCCCCAGCACCTCCACAGGGGCTGATGCACCAGGACCTGCGGATGGGGCCGGCCCAGCGGGGGAGGCCGTGCCTACTGCCCCAGGACGGTAGGCGGCTGCCAGGCCTCCTTCCAGGCCACAGAGCCAGCAGAGGCTTCTGTGCCAGGCGGGGCCCAGGACGTCTGGGGCGGGGGTGGGGGGGTGGGCAGGGAGCCCAGGGTCCCACTGCTCACTGCTTACAAAACCAGCGCTCACAACCGGCAGAAAAGGCCAGCGATGTGGGGAGATGGCATCCTCAGAGTCCCCCAGAAACCCCCTCTGAAGATTCCGCCCGGCCCTGAAGCTTCTAAAGGGAGACAGAGAGGAATCTGAGTTAATCCCTGAGGTGGGCTCAGAGTCCTTGCCGCCCCCACTGTGTGCGGCGTGTCGACTCCTCACGGCCTCCCTCTAGATGCGATCTTGGTCACACGGTTCGTTCGGGAGATTACTGGACGGGAAGCTGGGGGGAGATCTGGTCATCTGTTCATTATGCTTCATTTCTGCTCCTTTGATCTACAGAAAGAAGAGACAGGTTAGGCGAGGTATTGTGTGATCAGGAGATCCGAGAGGTGTGCCTGGGCTGGAGATGAGCAGAGCGTGGGGGTGCCTGGTCGAAAGCCAGCTGCAATGAGCCTCTGCTAAAGTGACAAGGAAGGGGGCTTCCCGAGGGCAGCTCCCTGTGGAGAGCTGCTTACGGATCCCCCGTCAGACATCGTTCCATTTCTGCGGGGCTAGGGGTGAAGGTCCGTCTTCTGTCTTCTTCGTGCTGACACAGGCGCCGTATTCTCAGAGTGGAAGACGTTGACGTGGGTCTGTAGCGTCTCTTTGCTGACGGTTTTAGTTGTCCGCTTACATATAGGGGCAGAGCCAGCTACAATTATTTTGATGCCCACAAACATATAGATTATTATGAGCAATAGTGTTAATCCTATTCTCGTGAGGCCAGTTCTTGGAATTGTGAAGCCAGAGATTCAGTTCTGCTCAGGACGGAGCAGCCCGCGTCACGGCTGCAGTCTGGTCCTTGTGCAGGTGGGTCCTGACGACGTGGAACCGTGTAGGTTTACAGGCTCCCTGCGGGGAGCAGGTGCCCTTTGTGTTGTCTCCTTCCCACGACTGATCGCGGGGAGAGATCTTAGTTTCCACATCTGAAAGCCTGTGTTTGCTCAACTGCCCTTGTAATGAGGTCGTGAGTCTGCGGCATGCGGTCCTGTGTGCCTTCTGAGGAATCGATGTTATTTGAAGTAACGGTTGCGCTTTCTAGAAAGTCCCTCTGTCACTTTAGGAACCAGTTCTTAACTGCAGGCTTTCTGTACTTGTTTGCCAGAGGGGCGGAGGGGTTGGAACCTCAGGACTGACCCTTGATTGTCAGTTGCAGCGACTGTGGCGTTGGCTTCCCACGGGCAGCCCCCGGTGCGAGGGGAGGGGTTGGAACCAGGGAGCCTGAGTGAGGCCTGGCAGGCAGTGGTCAGCTCCGCGGTCAGCTCAGGGCTCCAGGGCGCAGGCTGGGACTTCTAGTCAAAGGGCCCAGGAGTTACTTTTTTACCTTCCTGGACTGCAGTCATTGCAATTAAGCACCAATTGTGTGCAGCCCGGCCAGGTGGTGCCCTGTACACCGTCTGGAATCAGCCTTCTCAACCAGGCCCCTGATCAGCAGTGCCCCCCCACCCAACCCCTGCTCCTGGGTTGGGGCTGGAAAGCCCAGTGGATGGAAGGAAGGGAGGAGGCTGGAGAGGAGCGGGGAGGGGAGGGGAGGGAGGGGGAGGGAAGGGGAGGGAGGGGCGAGGGAATGGAGGGGGAGGGGAGGAGGGCTGCGTTGCCCAGGGTGCAGTGATGACACCGCCAGGCCAGGCTGTGCTCACTCTGCAGAGCTGGATGCCTCTCAGCGGCGGTTCCCAGCCTGGCTGGCGGCGTCTCATTTCGGGCCGGCTGCCAGCAGGCCTGGTGGACCTGAAACACAGCTGGTTTTTCCTGCAGACTTGGATGAATGTGCGGACGCAGGCGCCTGCGGGGAGGCTCAGTGCCAGAACCTGCCGGGCTCCTACTCCTGCCTCTGCGACGAGGGCTACGCGTTCAGCTCCCAGGAGAAGTCCTGCCGAGGTACCCGCCCCAACACCACACGGGACACGCACACACACGCGTGCGCAGGGCACTGCTCTCCCAGGAGCACAGCGTGCTTGAGCGCTCGTGTGGGTCCTGCACACCTGCGACATGGCGCGCGCCCCTTGTGCACCTGGGCCTCTTCCCCAGAGACACAGGGAGACCGACCAGGCGGGGCCCCTGTGCTTCTGGGCAACGGGCTTCTCTCCTGCCCTCGGTGCGGCCTAGCCCAGCCGAGTCCGGGGGCGCCGAGAGCCCTGCTCCCTCCCACCGCCTTCCTGCCTGGGGCCGGCGGCTGCCCCCTCCACCAGGGAGGGGATGGGGTAGTCCTGGCCCTGCCCGCCCACCAGGCTGTCCCTGTGCCCCATGCTGACCTGGCCATGCTGACGGCCTCCGTCCCGCGTCCCCAGGAAGGAGCCGGCCAGCTGGGCGGGAGCCACGGGCCTGGAGCTCCCGGGTCTCGGGCTGGGGACTCACGTCCATGGCGGTGTGATGGGGCAGCAGGGTGCGTGGTGGCGTCAGTGGGCTCAGGCGCTTCCTTGTGGCTGGCAGATGTGGACGAGTGTGCGGAGGGGCGCTGCGAGCAGGCCTGCGTCAACTCCCCTGGGAGCTACACCTGCCACTGTGACGGGCGCGGGGGCCTCAAGCTGTCCCGGGACATGAACACCTGCGAGGTAGCACCTGGCCCGGCCTCCCGGCTGTGCTGTGGCCCCGCGTGGGGCTGGCTGGGAGCGCGTCCTCGGGCCTGTGGGGAGAGGCGGGGTGGGAGGCGTGGCCGTGCCATCCGATGTGTGGTTGTGGCCACCTCAGCTCCTCCCCAGTGTGACTCACTCACACACGCGTGACCGCAGCCCCCGCCCGGGCTCTGCGATGCGTGGGCAGCAAGGCGCCCCCTGACCGTGAGGGCAGGCCCGCCCTGGCTGCCCTGTGACCCCCCCGGGGCTCCCACCATGTGGCCCTCCAGGTAGTGGAGAAGCCGCATCGTAGAGCAGGGAACATTCTAGAAGCAACTTCAAGGTCTCCATTTTTTGCTTGTTTTACAACATTTTATAGTTGTTTTTATTATTCTCCGTATGTTTGAAATATTCCATAATTAAAATATGAAAGCAGAAAGGAAATGCACAGGGAAGGAGGGTGCTGGAGAAGCTGCCAGCAGGGAGCGGGGGCCTCTGAAAACATCGGAGACCAGCCTCCCCTGGGAGCCCCCATGGTGGGCTGGGCTGGGGGCAGCAGGGTCCCTGGGGGTTCCAGTGGGAGCCCGGCCAAGGGCCCCCACCTGAGGCCAGCTCCCCGCTCCTGACAGGACATCCTGCCCTGCGTGCCCTTCAACGTGGCCAAGAGTGTGAAGTCGCTGTACCTGGGCCGCATGTTCAGCGGGACGCCCGTGATCAGGCTGCGCTTCAAACGGCTGCAGCCCACGAGGTGAGAGGACGGCCCGAGCGTCTGGGCCTGGCGGCGGGGGGCAAAGTCAGCCCCGTGCTCGCATCCCGGCCGGGGAGCCCGCAGTCCAGCACAGCCGCGTGGGCCTCAGGGCTGGTGCCAGCTGTACGCCTCCCCGGGGACTCGCTGCTGGCATTGGGGTGCGGGCGGCATTCGGCCCGCTCACCTGGGCTCTTCCCGAGGCCAGGCGAGCCCCGCCGGGAGGGGTCACGCACCATGACCTGCGTGTAACCCACTCGTTTCTGCCGGCGCTCAGACTGGTGGCTGAGTTCGACTTCAGGACCTTCGATCCTGAGGGCGTCCTGTTTTTCGCCGGAGGCCATCGGGACAGCACCTGGATCGTCCTGGGCCTGCGGGCCGGCCGACTGGAGCTGCAGCTCCGCTACCAGGGCGTGGGCCGCGTCACCAGCAGCGGACCCATCATCAACCACGGCTCGTGGCAGACGGTGAGCGTGGCCCCCTCTGCGCCGCCTGGGCCGGCCCGGGGCTCCTGGTAGACGGTGAGCGTGGCCCCCTCCGTGCCGCCTGGGCCGGCCCGGGGCTCCTGGCAGACGGTGAGCGTGGCCCCCTCCGTGCCGCCTGGGCCGGCCCGGGGCTCCTGGCAGACGGTGAGCGTGGCCCCCTCCGTGCTGCCTGGGCTGGCCCGGGGCTCCTGGGCCGAGGACCCAGCATCTACTTGCCGTCGCTCACTCAGCAGTTAGTGGGTGCAGCCGCGGCAGGACGGCCCCGCGCCAGAAAGCCTGCGCTCAGATGGGCATTATGTCCTCAAAGAAGCAGAGCAGGGCTTCCACCGCAGCGGCCGTGATTCTCAGTGGGGTGACTCCTCTGAGGACACCTGGCTGTGTCTGGAGGCACTTCTGCTTATCACAGCTGTGGGGGGGTATGGGGGTCCCCTGGCAGCTGGATTGAGGCCAGGGGGACTCGGGACTCACCACCTCGAGGACCCGCCGGTTCGGACTGCCAGTCGTGTCGAGGCTGAGAACCGGCCAAGGTCCCGGGGCCCGGCTCTCGGTGTGGGGCAGGGTCAGACGTGACTCGTGACGCCGTCCCAGGCTCTGGCCCCCTGGCCTGCTCCGTTCACGCTGACCTCCAGCCTCTTGAGGGAGGTGCCCTGACTGCCCAGAGCCTGAACTGCAGCCGGTGGCTTTGGAGCTGCCGCTGTGTCCTCCATCATGATGCCTGGCGCAAAGCAGCCTGTGACACGCAGGCTCCCTCCCCAAACTTGGAGGCAACCTTAGTTGGAACTGGGCTTTTAGAAGTAAGTGCTTGAAAGAGAAATGGGAAAAGCATTCTTTTTTCCTCTAGAAGTGAAGATTAAATGGAAAAATTTGCCCTGGTCTCTGCGAATAAAAACAGTGTAGACGTTTGCTAATATTTCCATCCTGTCGGTGGCCTCTAGCTCCTCCTTTCCTGGACTCTTAAAGCACGAGCATCTCCAAAGCAGCAGGAGGGATGCCTTCCGCAAAGTTACAGATAAAACAGTCGATCTAGAGGGAAGCCGTCTCGGGGTTGAGGGAGCTCCACACGTGGGAACCCGCTGCCCCGCGGTTGAGGGCAGGAGGGTCCCGAGCGGGGCTGGGACACTGCCCGAGGGGAAGGGGCTAGAGGAGGCATGACCAGTGGATGCACGTGGCTGCCAGCCCACCCAAGGCACAAACTGGTCCTTGAGGTGCAGGGCCAGTTCCACAACGACCTCTGCCCACTCTCCCTGCCTCTGAGGCTCCCCACATGTGCACACTGCTGTCTCCTGACCAAATTCAGACCCAGTACCTAAATGTTTCTCCACCTGAGCCAGAAAGGAAATTGAGGGGCTTCTGGGTCATTAGGAAGATGCATCGTATAGAGTGACAGATTTTTTAACTTTCCTACAAGGAAAGCAGGAAAGAGTGGCAAGTTTTAGAAAGAATTCATACGTTCAGTCAGCATTCAATCCGTGCCAGGCACTATTGCTGGAGATCCCGAGGTAACATATGTCCTCGTGTATTCAAAGTGCTCAGTGAGGGGTAGGAGAAGCTAAGGGCCAGAGGTGTCAGGGCTGACCCAAGGGGGCAGTGACCTCAGGCCCCCAGAAGGCAGCTCCCTGACTGAGGCTTAATTTAGGGTCCCGAGATGGGGAAGGGGCTCCAGGTGGGCTCACCTGCAGGAGGAGGGGGGGCCAGGGGGAGGGAGTAGCATTGGGAGGAAACCAAAACCGGCAGGGTCAGAGCCACACCATAGATGCCAGGGAAGCAGTACAGGTGATGAGCATGGCCCCCCCGAGGCTGGGGGTCTCTTGGCCCTGGGTGGTGATGGGAACGTGGCCCCCCCGAGGCTGGGGGTCTCTTGGCCCTGGGTGGTGATGGGAATTGGTACCCAAGGCTCGGCGCCCCTTCAGAAGGTGCACATCCACCCTCACTGCACTTGTGCTCTTCAGATCTCTGTTGAGGAGCTCGAACGGAACCTGGTGATCAAGGTGAACAAGGATGCTGTCATGAAGATCGCCGTGGCCGGTGACCTGTTCCAGCTGGACAGAGGACTATACCATCTGAACCTGACCGTGGGAGGCGTTCCCTTCAAGGAGAAAGACCTCGTCCAGCCTGTAAGTACTGTCCTTAGCCCCTGAGGTCGGAGCCCAGGTGGCTGAGCACAGGGTTTAACCCTGAGGGCCCTGGGAGAGGACCGGAGGGAGGCAAGCATCTCTAGACCCTAACAAGCCGCAGTGCAGCTGCGTCACGCACCGCACCATCTCTCTACGCAACTCATTCGCGTTCTCGTCTAAATTCATGATAAAAATGTCTATTTTGCAGAGGAGATAAATCACAAAGAAATTATCCTTTAACAAAAAGAACACTCACTTTTTTGGACAGTTCCCAAGTACATTTGGGTTACACGCTGAGGTTCCGAGTAGAGGGTGGCGGCGGCAGCACCTTCCCTCCAGAGGGCTGGCCCACACCCCAGAGTCCCATCCGTGTGCCTCATGCCTCCTCGTTTTACAGACAAAGGCTGGGGCGACCTGATGTGTGCAGAGCCACGCGGCAAGTGCACAGCTGCGGGTCCCCAGCCCCCGCCCTACACACCCCAGGTGCTTTGGGCGCCTGGCAGGAGCGCAGGCACAGCTGCTGTGGAAGGGGCCCCTCGCCCTCGTCCTTCCAGGTGGTAGTCAGCGCCCTGTGTCTGTTAGATGAGTGGGGACCGGGTGCAGGCAGAGGAGGACGGGTGGGGCGCGGATGTGCCACGTGTGCTGCTGCGTGTGCCGTGTACCTGGAGTCGGGCAGCGAATCCCTCCGTGAGCGCGGAGCCTGTAGTGGAAACACCTCCCCCTGCAGGATTCATCCACGTTAGTGGTGGATTTCCACGTGCCTGCGCCGGGAGGGCACCGTGGGAGCGGGCGGCACCAGGAAGCCACCGGGGGTCTCTGTCTTTCCAGATGAACCCCCGTCTGGACGGCTGCCTGAGGAGTTGGCACTGGCTGGACGGTGAGGACACCACCGTCCAGGAGACGGTCAAGGCGAACGTGAACATGCAGTGCTTCTCCTTGACCGAGAGAGGCTCCTTCTTCCCTGGGAGAGGGTTTGCCTCCTACAGCCTGGATTATGGTGAGTCCTGGCTCCTGCATCGGGATGGCTGTGCTTGTCCTTGCAGCCAAAATACGCCGAAATACACTAAAAACCAGAGAAGCAGGAAGCAGTTTCCTACTGGGAAGACGGCAGAAGGGACGGCCTCACGGCCCCCGGGCTACAGGCGGGGCACAGGCCCACTCCCAGGGCGCAGGGCTGGGAAAAAAGGGACGGAGGAGGGTGCCGGTGCTTGGTGGCCGAGACGGGCAGGCGGATGCAGGGCTCTAAGGGGAGCTTCCCAGAAGGTTCTGAGACAAGACAGGCTCAGGCTCATCCAGGTAGATGTAGACGGAGCCACTCGGGAACGCCCAGCACTGTAGTCTCAGCGCCGTGGGCCGTGGGGAGGGGGCAACGGCTCAAGGAGTCCCTGAGCTCGAGCTTCAGAAGGACGAGGAGGAGAGAGGCCCCAAGGAGCCGGGCTTTTCCAGCTGCTACGGAGGCAGCAAAGGAGCTTCTCCTTCACGCCCGGGGAGACAGGAGCAGGCCTCGTAGCGGGCGGGGTGGGCAGCTGGGGGCCAGCGTGCTGCCGCAGGGGACACAGGGTCGGCCCGGAGTCCCTCTGGCTTCTGTGAAGCAGGGCCCTTCGTTCCTGGAACAAACCACAGCTATCTCTTCCCTTTTATTATCCATCAGTGACAACTTTTACAGTAAAGACAAATAATCCTCCCATGCTGATAGGTGAGCACTTAGATGTCAGCTTTATCTGAAATGAGCGAATGTTCCAAATCCCGGCGGTACCGTTGCCACCTCCGCTCTGGGGATGTCAACCCGGACGGTGCGGACGTCGGGGGCGGGGGGCGGGGACGGTGGCGGTTCCATTTGAGTCTGGACCCAGGATTTCCCCGACTTCCCCTCTGACAGGGTTGAAGTTAGCCTCTGTTTCCCAGGGGGCACCAGCTGCAGCCCCGAGGTGTCACCGTGCCTGGGCTCACGGGCCTTAGTGACTTCCAGGTTGAGGATGTTGGGAGAGCCCTGGGTCCCGGCCCAGGGACAGCTCGCACAGAACCGTGCGCCTCTTTCCGAGGGTCGGGAAGGCATCCAGAGCCCGGGCTGCCCGGCAGTCCCAGGCGGACACCTGGTCCAGGGAGGCTCCAGGGTCGCCCCCCTCCCCTTCTCCGCAGCCCACTCCTCCTGCCAGGCTCCTGGCATTGCTGCGAAGGCCCCCGCTCCCGGCTCTGCTCCCCCCTCCACACTCTCACCCTGAGAGAGTCCCCGGGGTACCCCCACCCCTCTCTGTTCCTAGACTCTGAGCCTTTCGTGGTTGAAGGCGCACACGTGACCCCCCACCCCATCCCGGCCCTGCTTGTCAGCCCAGGAGGGCAGGTGGCCTGCTGCCTCCTTCAGACCTCACTGCCCCGGTGGCCTGCAAGTTCAAGGAGGGCCCGTCCAGCTCGGAGGACGAGGGGCCTGCTCCCTCCTCCTTAGCAAGTCGGGCCATCCTCTCAAGACCTTGTGTCACTGTCCCCTTTCTGTCTTTAATTGTCAAAAGCATCACCACGTCACTGAAGGGTTTTTAGAAAAGAACCATTGACCCCTAATCGCACCACCTCACACAAAACACGTCACTCTTTCAGTCTTTGTTTTTGTACGTGCAAACCTAGAGCATCCTATGATGTTTAATATCACATCATGGAGCATAAATGTTTAATTCCTTTTTCACTAACACTGTGGTAACGCAGACACCGCAGGCACAGTCTCCACTGGCTGCAGTGCTGTCCCTGTGCCCGTCACCGTGCCTGCTGTGGTCTGCTCGCGCTTTTGCTGCATGGTTTTGATCTTCAAGTTCTGTGACAACAAAGGCCAAATGGTAGTTAGAACTCTATGCATTTTTAATGTGTCTTGAACTATACCGTCAACGTTCTCACGTTACAACACAGAAAGGACACATTAGGAAATGACAGATACTGTCCTCAGCAGCAGGTCCCGGTGGATCTGGACTCACTGGGTCTCAAAGCCTGAGAAGCCCTCGGTGAGGGGCGTGTGGTTGACCCCACTGTGCACCCGAGAAAACTCTCCAGGGGAGCCGAGGCGTCGGTGCCTTAAGCACACTGCTGGCAACCAGGCCGCGGGCCTCCTCTGTCCGGGGACTCCGCAGGGAACATACTCCCCCTGCCGCAGGGGTGCAGGGGGAGCTCGGCAGCAGAGGAGAAGGCTGGGTCGGTTCCTTTTTCCAATTCTGCGTGCGTTTGATTCGATGAACAATTACGGGAACTGGCCGTAACAGGCCCCTCTGGGATGCGGGCACACACACGATTTGAGGGGCACACAGTCCACTGGGGGCAGAGACCGGCCCACGGCGAGGTCCGAGCCCAAATGTTCGCAGACGTGGCCTCAGCATCCTCTGCCGAAGCAGCCCCTGCCTGACATTCTCACGAGGTAGAAACACTTAAAACCCAAGAGGGCGGAGGTTGTCTGGCCTCTTCAGCAGCAGGTGATCACACGTGGGGAGGAAACGTGAGGTGGCGTTCGCCCTCCGAGAACCGGAGTGCAGCCCTGCTACCACAAGTGCTTTGGAGCAGTTTGTGCAAGAGGCGTGCACCATGTATACTCATTCCGATGCGTCGTGTACGTGACACGCACCGTATGGTTTATAATCCACACGCGGTACCTACTGCGGCCCGTCTAACACACCCGAACAAAACCTCACCCGCGACGCGTCGACTGTGACGGTAGAAAAGCGCAGCTCAGGATGTAAGATCGTATGTGCTGTTGAGTGGGGCTCGTGGAAGCGTCCATTTTCTTCACGTCTTTAACTTTTCAAAGTCCTTCAGCTTGCGGGGCTGCACAAGGCCGCAGCTGAGGTGCAGAGGGTCGAAGGCTGAGACGCCCGCCCCATTCAACTGACCTGCGGGGAGGGAGTCGGGGGCGCCCGGGGGCTGAGCACGGCCCAAGTGGCGCGTCTGAGGTCCCGGCGGGACTAGGTGGCCCGGTGGTCACGTGAAGGGGCGCTCGGGGGAGCGGGCGGCATGGCCATCCTCAGGCGGCCTGGGGCCTCTGGACTGCGGCCCAGACCTGAGTCCAGAGCCCGGCCCCCGTCACTTCCCAGCTGTTGGCGCGAACCGCGGGTTCTGGGAGGCTGTTACCGGCTTCCCACCTCCTCCGCCGCCCGGCGTCCTCTGCTGCCCGGGGCCGCGGGGGAGCTGAGCTCGCCGCGTCTCGCTCCCCGCCTCTCGGGTCTGGATCGCCCTGTGATGTGCCGCCTTCATTGCAGCTCGGACATCGCCGGACGTCGGGACCGAGACCACCTGGGAAGTAGAGGCCGTGGCTCGGATCCGCCCCGCCGCCGACACGGGGATGCTGCTTGCGCTGGTGGGCGATGACCAGGCCGTGGCCCTCTCCGTGGCCCTGGTCGACTACCACTCCACCAAGAAGCTCAAAAAGCAGGTACCACTCACTGCCCCACCCCACCCCCGACCCCTGAGGACGAACTGCTGCCCCAGCGCCCAGTGCCCAGCCAGGCTGCGGCCCGCACCGTGCCCCTCGAGGTTCCAGCCCACCCTCCCCATCTCTCTCCAGGGTCTGAGCAGCCGCGCGTGGCTCGGGGACAGTGTTGCGTTCCCGAAAGCCAGTTGTGCGGTGGGGAGACTTTCCCACCCGCTCAGTGGTGTAGCAGTTTGAATTAATTGCTCGTATGTAAGCCAAAGGACTTTGCTCATAGATCAGATCTTCCTTTTGAAAAAGATGTGCAAACGTGCCCCAGACCCTTGTCACGCGGCCCCCTGGGGACGCAGGCGGAGCTCTGGGCACATGCCCCTGGACACGCTGTCCATCACCTCCACGCAGCCCCCCTCTCCCGACTCTCCCAACACCACGCCAACACCGTGCTGACTGGACTCACTGTTTTCTCAGAGAACAGCTAAGAGGTGGCGGAAATAGGTTTATTTTCTCACCTCTGTCCTAAGAGGGGTGTGTTCACCAAGTCAGCCTGCCCGCGGGGGCCACCCAGCTCCCCTCTTAGCGGGTCTGCAAGCTGATGGGCGCGGATCCGCGCCCTGCCCAGGCCGGCTTTCCCCCATCCCGGTACTTGGGACAAACGGCCCCGAGGCCCACCCAGCTGAGACCACCTCCCCGGGCGAGGAGAGGGAGGGAGGGGAGGGCCATCGGTCATCACAGCGCCTCTGCCCTGTGTTGTCAGAGGCGTGTTCTGCCTGGCGTGTGCATTTGCTGCCCGGGCCCCTCTGTGGTGCTTTGTGGCAGCTCCACGTGGAGGGGCAGCCCTAGCCTGTGTCCCGGCTACGGACACGCTGGTGACTGGGGTCACCTCTGCCCAGGCCAATGCATGTGCATTCCCATTTCTGGAGCGTGTTTCCCCCCAGCTCCCGCGCGAGGGTGTGTGGTTTTATTTGTTCGTCCTCCATCACGTTGCAGGGTCCAGGTGGCCCCCTCCTTCACCCGAATAGAGACTGAGTCCCTGTCACACCCCGGCCGCAGGCGACCCTGCCCGCAGGAGGCCCGCAGGACAGGGCAGGACAACAGGGCCCGCGGGCACTTGGCCACCACCCCACCTGCCCTGCCCCTGCTCAGGCGTGCTTCTCCCCACAGCTGGTCGTCCTGGCCGTGGAGAGCGTCACCCTGGTCCTGATGGAGATCAAGGTCTGTGACGGCCAGGAGCACGTTGTGACCGTTTCTGTGAACAAGGACGAGGCCACCCTGGAGGTGGACGGCACGAAGGGCCAGAGTGAAGTGAGCCCAGCAGGGCTGCAGGAGAGGCTGGCCGTCCTCGGGAGGCACCTGCAGGGCTCCGTGCTCACCTTCGTCGGGGGGCTGCCAGGTAGGGTGCCCCAACTTGCTCGCCCCAAGCAGAACTGGGCTGCTCTGTACTAAAAGGAGGAGGGAAGCAGCCGGCCCGTGGCTGCATCGGGTACTCGCTGGGTGTCGGCCCCGGCCTGCCATTGTGTGTGGCGTTCAGGCTGAGAACACGCTTGCAGGGCCAAGTGGCAGCCTGAAGCTTCCCCTCCCCGGCTCCCGCACCCACCAGGAGCCCCGCCCCCAACCGTGGGCATCAGACGGTGGCTCCGGCCAAGGCTAGTGAGGAGGGTTCAGCCCACTGGGCCACGCTGGGGGCTGGGTGCCCCAGCGCCCCAGCCAGCCTCGCCCCTGAGGCCTGGTGTCCAGTTGCCATGGCAGCAGGCAGAGTGACCCCGGCCCCTCCTGCGTCCAGGGCTCAGGTCTGGTCAGGTGGAGCCAGGAATCGGGGCGAAGTGGTGGCAGGAGGACGAGGCCAGGGCCTCACGTAAGGCCCCGTCCGCTCCCACCCCTCAGGGTGGGTGTCCACTTGCCACAGACGGCGGCATCTCTGTCTTGGCTGGCAGACTCAGAGTGCATTTGGTTTTAATAAGCAGAGCTTTGAAGAGGACGAGAGAAAGCCTGGAAGCCCTGGGCATGACTCATTCGGGCCGAGAAGATAATATTTAATTGATCTGACTATCTGTGTGCGCTCCTGGGGGCCGGGGTGCGGCGTCAAGCCTGGTGGCAGCGGTTCACCACCTGCCTAGGGCGTGTGCCCGAGCCAGACGGAGGGGTTCCGCAGGGATGGGAAACCGTGCCCTCGAGGCGGCCGGAGACGCAGAGCGGGGAGCCCAGGCCCCAGACGCCGGGCATCTCGCCCCCTGAGACGTGTTTGTTCTTCCCCCGCGGCCCAGATGTGCCAGTGACCTCGGCCCCGGTCACAGCCTTCTACCGCGGCTGCATGACGCTGGAGGTCAACCGGAAGGTTCTGGACCTGGATGAGGCCATCTACAAGCACAGCGACATCACGGCCCACTCCTGCCCCCCAGCTGAGCCGGCCGCCTAGGCTTCTGCTGCCGCCGGACGCCCGCACAGCCACGTGCGCCTTAGCTTTCTTCCCAGACCAGGAAGGACGGCGGGAGGCCCCCGCACCCCTGCCCGAGACACTGATCCCTCGCCCACCAGCTCCCCTCACGGCCTCCCTGCCCGTGTGTAACATATGTGTAAATAGCGGACTCACCTCAGCACCACCCGAGCGGACCCGGGAAGAGAATTCTGTTATTTTTATTACCAGATGCTTCTCTCTGACCTAAAACTATGGAAAAATAAAACGTTTACGGAAACTTCCGAGCTCTGTGTCGGCGCTTTCTGCCCCTTGGCACTCAGCGGCGCAGCCGTCATGGGGTCCGAGGCCGAGAGCGGTCCGCCAGGCCCATCGGCTTTAACTCCAGGCGGCATCCCTTCCGCCTGCCGCCGGCGTCCCCGAGACGGGGATGAGCCGCTTTCCGGGAGGCGGCAGTGCCGGTCGCCTGCCTGCGCGGCCACGGGCAGGCGCCACAGGTCAGCGCCGCCGGCTCCCCGTGCAAACCCGCAGCCTCGGTTCTCCCACCTCGTTTCGGGAGGCCGTGCGCGGTGCCGGAAGGCACCTGCTCGTTGTAGAGAGAGCCGGGTCTGCCGGGGGTCGAGCACACGGGCCTTTCGCTCTGGCTCCAGGAGCATGGGGGGCAGTAACGACAGCACGACGCCAGACCAGGTCACAGGGGAGAGCAAGCCCAGCGTTTGCAGCTGCTGCGGACACGTCTGGGGCTGCGGGCGCTGTTGCAGCAGAGGGTCCCAGGGGAGTTTCCGGCATCCGGTGGGGCTTCCCTCCACCCCAAGACTGAGATTCTATTTTTTTAAATACTAAACCCTGAAGTGTGTTCTCAGGCAGGCAGCCCAGGGTCCCACGGCCCCATTTCAGCTTCATGGCTTTAATCCCTCAAAGCGGCTTCGGGGTCTCTGCACCCGCCCGCCTTCCCCCCACCCCGCTGCTGAACGTGAGTTTACAGTCACAACCTGACCCAGAGACAAGCAGGGGCGGAAGGAGGGGCAGGGGCCGAGGACCCCAGCCCAGCCGCGTGCGGAGCCCGTGGGACACAGAGTGGCCGCGGCACCTCAGGTGGAGAAGCTCCCTCTCGATCCTGGCTGGCGGGACTGGCAAGTGGAGTGACCCCGGGGACCGTGGGCAGAGGCAGCTGGCGTGCCCTGGAAGGGACGGGGTCTCCATGACACAGGGGAGGGGTTGGCAACCACAGATGCCCATCAGGCGGGACCCGTGGGCCGAGCTCACCTAAGACGACCAGACTGAGGCCCGAAGGTACAAGGTGACGGCCAGGACCCCAGAGGCAGAGGCGCTCGGACCCCAGGGCCCAGCAGGGCTGGCACGTGCAGCCGGGGTCAGCCCCTCCCAGGGCCACCCATGTCCTCCTGCCAGCCTGAACCCACTTGTCTGCTCCCCGGCCTGCCTCAAACCGTGTGTCTCTGTGTGTGTGTCTCTGTGTGTGTGTCTGTGTGTGTGTGCATGAGCGTGCATGTATGTGTCTGGGCCCCTCCTCTGCCAGGCCAGCCGTGGGCACGGTGCACTCCTTCAGGCGTCCCTGAACCTCACTGGGCTGTGGGTGAGAGTTCTGCTGACTCAGGACTTCAGGAAACTAGCCCGAGAGTTCTTCAAGTGATTTGCACAGAAGGGCTGGCAGGGAGGTCAGTCAGGGGACTCGGCGAGCCCTGGTCCTCGTGCAAAGTCCGCCTCCAGCCAGCCTCTTCCCAGAGCACCGTGGAGCCCCCTCCTCCATCCGTGACCGGAGTGGACGTGTGGTCTGGCTCACAGCCTAAGTGGACCCCAGCCCAGGCCCCTGTGCCAGCTCCGGGTTGGGGGCTGGCCTGGTGGGCTGAACTGGTCAGGCTGCGGCCTGGAGCTGTAGGACGTGCCTCACACTGTCCGTTGGGGGCTTGAGAGCCCAGTTCCTGGGGACTCTGATGTTGACCAGGAGGACCAGGCACGGTTGCCATCAGCTCAGGGAGCAGGGGTCTCCCCTGCCGCCCGTGGTCTCCCAGAGCCGCTGAGCACCACTCTGAGAAATGGGGGCACGCAGTCCCGCCCACGACCCCAGGAGACCCCCTGCTGCCCACCCTCTGGCCCCATGTGGCCTCAGGAGCCCAAAGCCACCCTGGGGCCTGCTCTCAGCCCAGTCACCACAGCATTCCCGCCATCCTCTCTGGTTTTTGTCCACTCCGGAGGCAGCTCTGGAATGTTCTTACGGAATGCTCCCCAGGCCAGCCCCCACCCGCTCACAAAGGCCAGGATGGCCAGAGAGCAGACAAGACAAATGCTGAGCTCTGGGACTGGAAACTCTGGCCTCACAGACACACGGAGCCGAGGCCAGCTCTCAGGGGCTTTCTGACCACCTTGGGTTCATCTTCTCTCCGGGGAGAGCGAGGGCCACATCTGTTTCCTACTGAGGTTTCCATAGACTTCCACTGGGCGCCAGGGGTTATTCTAACTACTGCCAAGAAAAAGTTTATGGCCAGTGGAGAGCCAAAATCTGCAAGACATTCCCCAGCTGTACTGGCCAGATTGGCGTCCTTGCTGCTACCCAGTCCGGGCCAGACTGCACACGAGGCTGGGGCAGACAGAGAGTTGCACGTCTTCTGACTATGTGCCATGGAGATGGAGCCGGGATGAGTCTGACTGTGCGCCATGGAGATGGAGCCGGGATGGGTCTTACTGTGCGCCATGGAGATGGAGCCGGGATGGGTCTGACTGTGCGCCATGGAGATGGAGCCGGGATGGGTCTGACTGTGCGCCATGGAGATGGAGCCGGGATGGGTCTGACTGTGCGCCATGGACGTGGAGCCGGGATGGGTCTGACTGTGCGCCATGGAGATGGAGCTGGGATGGGTCTGACTGTGCGCCAGGAAGGAGGAACTCAGGTGGATTATGCTGCTGACACTTGTGGTCTGCATTGATCTCAGAGTTTTGCTTTTTTTGTTTTAAATAGAAGAGCTGTAATATTTGTTTGTATTTCATTCTTTTGTTTGTTTTTCAGATACTATCGATTGATTGATAACGGCTTTTTGTGTGAAGGGCTGTTCTGTGCCCTTAGGGTATTTGGCGGCATGCCTGCAACCTCTGTCCTTGCTGCCAGTACTCCCCCAAATACACACACATAGACACACACACTTGAGACAGTCAAAACATCTTCAGACACTGCCACACGTCCCCTGGAGCAAATCATCCCTGTTGAAATCTCTGCATTAAAGAAATAGGAAATTTGACCCCAGCTCATATGACAGAAAAAATTAACTCTATGTAGAGCATATATTTAAATCTAAAGGTAATCTATAAAGCATTTAGAAGATAATGTAAAACTGTAGGCTGTGGGCCTAAGGTGATGCACCCCTGTTCTTGTTAATAAAGCTTTATTGACACACGGTCATACCCGTTAACTTATGATTCTCTACAGCTTCTCTCCTGCTACAATGGCAGGGCTGAGCGGTAGCTTCACAGCTACGGACCCTCAAAACCTGAACCATGTACTATCTGTTCCTTCACAGAGAAACTTTGCTGACCCCTGTGATAGAAGAGTATTTTCATGAACTAGGGTAAAGAAATATTGCTTTAAAATAGAAAATAAAACAAAATGCTCTCATGATAAAGAAAAATATTTAAAAATTGGGCTGCATTAAAATTAAGAACTTCAAGAAAACGAAGTTGGAGGAAGCTACCCGACTTCAAGTCTTGCTATGAAGCTCCAGCGGTCAGTACAGCCTGGTGTTGCCAAAAGAATAAACAAAGAGATAAATGAACAGAACAGAGAGCCCAGAAACAGACCCACAAAAATAGTCGCCTGATCTTCAACAAAGGATCAAAGGTAACACAATGGAGCAAAGACAGTCTCCTCACAAATAAGGCTGGAACACCTGGACTCCACGTGCAAATAACCGAGTCTAGACACAGACCTCACACCCGTCACAAAGTCAGCTCAAAATGGATCACAGATCTAAAGTGAAACACAAAACTGTAAAACTAGAAGACGGCACAGGAGAAAATCTAAATGGCCTTGGATTTGGGATAACCTTTTAGATACAACACCAAAGGCAAAATCCATGAAAGAAATAATGGACAAGTTGGGCTTCATTAAAATGAAAACTTTCTGCTCCGCAAAGACACCATCAAGGGGATGAAAAAACAAGCCACAGATGAAGAAGAAATTTGCAGAAGACATATCTGATGAAGCACTGTTACCCCAAATATACAAAGAACTCTTAAAACTCAACTATAAGAAAATAAACAACCTAATTAAAAAATGGATCAAAGACCTTAACAGACATCTTGCCAAAGATACACAGATAGCAAATAAGCACATGAAAACGTGCTCATATGTCATATGTCATCAGGGCGAACGCAAATTAAAACAATAGTAAGATGCCACGGCACACCTATTAGAACAGCCAGAATCCTAAACACAGACAACACCAAGTGCTGGTGAGGACGTGGGACGGCAGAAACTCTCAGCACTGCTGGTGGGAACGCAGGATGGTGTAGCCACCATGGGAGACAGTTTCTTACAAAACTAAACATACTCTCGCCACGTGATCCAGCAATTGTGCTCCAGGGTACTTCCCCAAAGGCACTGAAAACTAATGTCCACATAAAAATGTACACACAAATGTTTATAGCAACTTTATTCATAATTACCAAAACTTGGAAGCAACTAAGATGCCCTTCAGTAGGTGAATGGATAAACAAACTGTGTTACACTCAGACGACGGACCATTAGTCGGTGATAAAAAGAATGAGCTATCCCGTCATGGAAAGACATAGAAGAAACTTAAATGCATATTTGCTCAGTGAAAGAAGCCAATCTGAAAAGGCTACGTAGTGTATGATTCCAGCTATGTGACACTCTGGCAAAGACAAAACTATGGAGATAGTACAATAGAAAGACCAGCGGTTAACGAGGGTTAGGGGAGGAGGCGTGAGAGTGTGGAGCATGGGGGGTTTTTAGGGCAGTGAATGTGCTCCACATGAGACGGTAATGGCGGACACGGGACGTTAAACATTTGTCCAGATCCACACAATGTACAACACTGAGTGACCCCGAGTATAGACGACGGACTCTGGGTGACGGGGACGGATGGTAACGGCCGGCCCCTCGGGTGGGGGATGGTGATGGTGGGGGAGGCTGCGCCTGCGTGGGGCAGGGGGCCTGTGGGAACTCTGTGGCCCTTCCTCTCCATTTTGCTGTGAATCTAAACCTGCTATAAAAAGTAAAGTCTATTAAAAATAAACAAGCACATGCATCAGTAGA